GCTCTTCCAAAAACTCCAAACTAATTTTTACAGAGAATGTATGGCTCATTAACTTTTTTGCCACACAGCAATTTCGCAGTATTTTACTGGCTGATATTTTCTTCATTATTGCTTGCAAAGTAAGAGTTAAAAATTGCACAAATTGCTCAACTTAATCAGCTCCCTCAACCTTTACATTTAGTTCATATTTACGGCCACGGCTTCTATGGGTTAAATCGTATACTAATGAGGAAAAATGTAAACAATGATGTCAATAGAATTCGCTTGTACTTGTGGACGGGCGAAAACGACGCGAAAACGCTACGAGTGGACGCGAATTTTTTTGAAGAAGGAGAAAAAAAGTTGCTTTTTCAAAAGAATACGGATACGTATGGACAGGGCCTAAGTCATCTTTGTTAGTCAAACTCAAGAATGCATGCATAATCTCTTATTGTAATGCGATAACGAGTCAGAAAACCAATTGAAATTAATATTTCCCGAATGTTCATGAATGCTACACCAGTCTCTTGCCGGCAATCAGCCAAGCCTTGATTATATATTGCACGAGTGCCATTCACCCTCCTTCGTTCTCTCTACAAACTCTGGTCGTTGTCAACCAAGAAGTAAAGCAACAATCCCCAAAAATATGGTGAGAAACTGGTGAACCTAGCAGTCTTTAACCCATATGTTATGTTAATCTTTTCAGTTTTCTTTATTTAAAGCTGTAAGCTCCGTAAACTATATACGAAACTGAGGTAATTAATGATAAACATGTCGCTTCAAGTTGCTGCAAGAAAGCAAACTGAGTTATTCTATTTTTCTAGCTGATTTAAGCAGCCATTTGAACGAAGCTGTCTGAAATGATAACCGGGTATTTTCAGCCTTTTATTTACGGCTGCCATTAGGACAGTAGCGTCATAGAGATGTGGCCACCAAGCGCTTACAACGCCCTAAAAATAAGAATGACTGAGTGAAGCAGGGTTATGGCTGCCCTGGCTCCAGAGCTGCGATCTCGAAATACCTAGGAAGAAATAAGCCGTGAGCCCGAGGAAAGAAAAAAATAATAACCTCGGCAGCCAGGTTAGGTTGAAGCTCTTATAATGACGAGTTCTTAATAAATTAGATTCAATTCAGATACATATATTAATGTAGTGAAGGTTTTAACCTTGAGACGGTTTTGTTGCCTATTAACTGCCCTAAATGGGTGCTATAAAAGCTAAGACATCAAAAGCACTACACATCTGCACCATATTAACTCTTACACAATTTTCAGAAGAGTCTCCTCATAAAAACCATTTCAATACATGTGTTTATGTGCTTGTATTTTTCAATTTATTAGCATAATTCCTCTCCTTATAGAGTCATCATGCATTGTAGTTTTTTAAAAGGCTTTAATTTAGTTCCTACCTTACATATCTTGCAAACACTCTAAAAATTAATGTATACAGTAATGTTTTTGCGCAAAATTCAAATAGAACGCGATATGAAAAACTCTACTCGGGTGTCTTCTTCTGTCTTCTCCTGAATCTATTAGTTATTTGTCGTAACTATTTATAAATATTGATTTTCTTTGGCAGAAAATGTGCTTATGCATTAAACGACCATTTTTTAGAATAAAACGAAAGAGCCGAAAATGGTGTCCATATATTCTAGGCGTATAACACCATTTCTTTCTCGAATTGTGGTTATGAGTGAAATTTTTTTCCCTTGTTGCCAGTCAGTGATGCAGCGAAAAATAGAGAACGCCTCAGCAATTATGCAAAACGCGTGAAGCGCGTTCTCTTTGTATTGGCAAGGGTGGATAAACTAAGTTATCCCCGTGCTCTCTACAGCACAACAATGCCATCCTGTGCACCGCGCCAAAAAAGGTCGCGTGCGCAAGTCCAAAAGGGACTAAGAGATATCTAACTCCATCCTAAGCACTATACATTAAAGGTCGGTACACACTAGGCGACAAGTTGCAGCAACATGTTGCGACGGTACGTCGCAGCGACAAATCGCTTCGTGTGTACTGGAGAATTTTTGTGAAAATCTTTGTCTCTGCAACAGAATTTTGTCGCAGCAACACGTTGCAAATAATCAAATCAGACAGAATTTGTGCGACCTGTACACATGGAGTGATCTGTCGCCGCGACAGGTTGCTGCAACTTGTCGACTAGTGTGTACCGACCTTAAGACTTAAAACTCGAAGCGAGGTTGGGGAGATGGAAAAGAGAAACGCGCGGGGGAAGATGGGAAGGGGAAGAGAGGATCCTGCCTTTTCCCTCTTTCTATCGTCCCCCCCCGCGCTTGCTATTTCTCGATCGTTGTTATTTTTTTATTGGGATACCGTGCGGGAAGCTCTGCGGAGGAGAGAGGACATATATGAACACTCTCGCCTACAGGCACTAAAAAAACGACTAATCAGTTAAACAAAAGCACAAAAAAATCAGTCCCGAAGTCAAAAAAACGTTCTTCAATTTCCTGTCAATGGACTGAATTAGAAAGGGACTCGAAATGCTGAGAGTACTCGCAAATTTTCACTTCTGCTTACTGGTGATGTACGCGATGAGCAAACTAAGCATATCCTCGCTTTAGGCTGTGTCTTCTAATCTGATTTTTATAAGCACTACAGTGACTCTAAGTAATTGTTGTAACATTTTTTTATTGTAGGCTAATAGACTGACTGAGGAACAAAAAGAAGGTAGTTATTTTGTAAAAATATATATATAATCTTCCATTCTTTAATTAGAGTCTTAGAATTTATTTATAGAGACTTTTATACTGTGTGAGGACGAGGGCCATTCTTTTGACGTTAACTAGTAGATCATTTATATTTAAACAGAAATTTCAGCAGCTTTCAAGCTCTTTGATAAAAACGGCAATGGTCATATCTCAGTGGCGGAGCTCGGTGAGGCAATGAAGCAGGCTGGGCAACATTTGTCTGAAGGAGAGATTAAAGACATGATTAAGGCAGTGGACCGCAGTGGTATGGCTCTTTCCTTTCATGGCGATACTATAAATTAGCTGGAAGAAGGAATGGAAGAAAGTAGCTTGCGAAAACAGCAGTCTCTCTGAGGGACGTTTGGCCAAGAGGGACGTCTGCGTCTCAGTGACAGAAATTCCATACTGATGACGTAAAATCTGTCCAGAATCTGATTAGTAGCTCTTATTGGTCGGTGGAGTAGTTGTATTGTCTTAGCTATGGTTTACTAACGACAGATAAACCTGGACAATTAAAGGTCAATTGTAAACGCAATGAATCTACTTCAAAACAGTCAAACAGAACACAAAATTTAAACCATAATTAACCAGAAGAAACAAAAAATTGAACAAATTTACATATTTTGGAACCCCATGACTTCCGGATTTATGTAAACATTGATTTACGTCGTCAGTATGGAATGGAAGAGGCGCGAATGTCCCTTCCGGCGGAAGTTCCCTAGCTGCGAGGAGCGAGGAGAGATCGGGATGACAGTGAAGAAAGCCCACACGCGAGGAAAATGTAGCGCGAGGTACATAGGCTACGTGTGCGCACTCAATACTACCGAACCCAAAATCTCCCTGCGCACGCATTCTCTTGTTACCTTTTTGAGTGGTTTACTGTGCATTCACGATAGCTTTGACCATTTATCAATTGGTAGCCTCTCTAAAGCGAATGAAAATTTAGGTGCTATGATAAAAAAAAAAAGTGGTAGACGTATTTGGATGAAATGAATCTCAGTCCTAAATATCGCAGTATATATAATCAGTGGGTTTTTTTCGAGAACTTTAATACGTATTACTGGTAGTCAAATTTTCAAATGAGGAAGTTGCATTGTAGAATTCGATGTGAAGAGTAAAAACGCTCCTGCACAAAATTGCTCCTTTTTTAATTTCCCTGCTGTACTTAACTCGTGACTTAGGGTGTAATAAAAAATGTATTAAGCTTTACTGGCAGCAAGTTTGGTACCAAAGAAAACTTATAGAGCGCAATGGGGATAACACATCATCACAGGACCTGCAATGATAGCAATTTTTTCTTAAAACTGATGCAGCAATCCTGTATAAATACGTTTGAATTATTATTGTTATTATTATCAGTTGTGTGCTGAAGTTTAGGACTCGCATGGGCCAATGTTTCCTCTTAAAACCAATCACGGCAACGCCTAGCTGGCTGTTAAATCTGTCCCGTAGTTGGATGTCGTGCCCTTTCTCAGCTTGCGCGCTTGTTATCATCATTTCTTTTCTATTCCAGGGAATGGAATGGTAGAATACGCCGAGTTCGAAGACCTGATGGCCAGTCAAATGGATGACCCATTGGGTGCGGATGATCTCAGGTATTACTTTAAAAAATTTGACCAAAACGGGGATGGATTCATTACAGGAGACGAACTTGCTCTGGTGGTGAAGACTTTTGGAGGGAAAACCTACTCCAAGGAGGAAATCGATGATGCAATTAAAAAAGCAGACATAAATGCTGATGGCAAAGTCAGTTATGACGGTACGTTATTGCTGATTATGCGTGAGTGATTTTAAGGGAATGGCACTTTTTTGTTATTTCCATTCATGGCATGTTTCGGACGAGCTGTGGCGAAATCTGTAGGCTCAAAACGCATGCGATTACTGATGAACACTTTGCGCGCGGCCTACCAGACAACGTCAATATCCGCACGGATTTCAAATTATGCGCTTGTCACTTCACTCACTCTTGGAGGAAAGATATGAAATAAATGATTCTCGCAGTTCCCAGCCTTTACAAGTTAAGTTCGTTTAGGGTTTTAAGCCATAAAGAAGCCGTATAACAATATTTTTGCTTCAAGGCACATGTAATTCAGCCAAATCTCTGTCACAGTTCTCGATACACTGTGCTATGCTTTATATTCCCACGAAACTATCTTTGTGTCAATCTCTTCTCCCTTCTCTACCCCCTTCCTAAATAGCTATACAGTTAAAACCCGTTAATAACAGACATTGGCCGTATTGACGAGGTGTCCGTAATGAGCGGTTTGAAGTTAGAGAGAATGTAAGACCTTTCTTTCCCCAAGGACAAAGCGAACTGTCCTTTAGATTCTAAGACGAGTACGACTACAAGTTCGAGATTTGACTTAAAGTTTCTTCGCGTATTCTCAAAATATAGACTCCCCGGAAAGCTTGATTTTACCATTTTTCACTAGAAAAGTTCGCACTGTTACTTTAAGTGAAAGAGGTTACACCCTCTCCCGATCGCAAAATGATAAAACTTCTAACATTTGATCACTTGTTTTCCGATCCCCACTTCGACATTCTCGCTAAAACTTGTAGTAGAGTGACGACGGATACCAGGTTTTCCCGCCAAAATGACGCTGGTTTACGCGCGCTGTACTACCTACTCGTGTCGTACTCGTCTTAGAATCTAAAGGTCTCTACTGAGGTGTCCGTATCAAGAGGATATCCGTAAGTCGGGATTTGACTGTATTTATAAAGATTTATTGTCTTTAGATTGGAGGCGGGGAGTAATGGTTGATAATGGTAGGAATTATTAGGATACTTAATGTGGACCTATATATGTGCGTATTTTTCATTCTTTTTCAGAGTTTGTAGCTATGATAAAATAAAACGAAGTGTCAAGTTTCTGCGGGTGAGGAATCAAAAGAAAGGAGGAATCGGCTGGAAACTAGCTTTAATTAATAACTAATACGTAGGAGTTTGATGAAATTGTGTCGCTTAAAAGAGTAGAGCACTGAGCTATTGACGAAGCACTTTTACTAGTAAAGCAAATTACTACTTTGACTAGGCTACCCAAGTTGTAACAATATTAAAATTTACAGTAACTTTCTAAACTGAAAGAGATGACTTTATAGAACAATACAATGAGGTATCTATATTTGTTATAATGTCGGATAATATGTAAAAACTTCTAGACCTTCTACAAGCATGCCGTAAAGACATTTACTAAAGTAACCGATTTTGGTCTCCAGCTAGTGGGTAACATAATAAAGTTTCAACAGTTAGACCTTGTGTTGTCGTCTCAGTATGTGTCATAAGAATTGACCACTCCAGAAAATAGGCGCTTTGCAGCTAGTCATTCACCTGTTACAAAACCGCCGTGCTGGAGAGCAAAAGTCGCACTGGGACAAGACAAACAAAGAAAATTACCATTTAAAATTATCCCTGTCTTTTGTTTGTCTTGTCCGAGTGCGACTTTTGCTTTCCAACGTGGCGGGTTTTTTACAACGTGAATGGCTAGTTGCAAAGGGCCTATACCAGAACATACCATAATGCTCTTTGTTTGTCACCCCAAAATTTTGCATAAACATTGTTTTTGGTTTCTCTTGGGGCCATTTTAACTCCCAAGGGAAACTGAAGACAGTGCTTAAGCAAAATTTTGGGGTGACAAACAAAGAGCAGTATGGTATGTTCTGGTATTTCTGGAGTGGTCAATTGACTCTATGTTATGTATGAATAATTATGAAGCATGCGGTAATTGAATCAAAGTAATGATGACATTCATTAAAAATTGTTAGTTGTGTGCTGATAACTGGTGTATCGAGGGGCTTAGCAGGCCGGTTGTGTTGTCTTCATTATCGAGGTTTTTTACTACTAAAACCGTCTAGAGAAACACTCCATCCATATTTATTAGAACACCTTTCTAAAACGCACACGTGGAATTGGTCTCATGCACTTATCCCCCTGTTTACTATATCCTACCTTGAGGTCAACATTGAACGTACTGCTGTACGAACTTTATTCAACCTGAACACCTCTACGCTGAAAGCAGACAACGAAAAAGGCTCTGAAGTACTTCTTCGATTAATTTACTCTTCACAGGTATATTTGGTCACTGTTTAGTCTCTTCCATATCCCCGAATTCTTCTTCAGTTTATTTCTGCAATGAGGACTTTCTTTCTAAAAGACAAGATATTTTTTGAACATTCACTGCCATTAAAGTCAACAAAGAAATGACCCAAATTTTATCACCAGATTGCAACGAGGCCGGAGACTTCGTTACAACAGATAACAGCTGAACTTCTTTTCCCCTACAGCTTTAGTGGGGCGGGCCCTTATCTCGTCTTTGTATTTAGTCCATAGGTTTTTCACAGTATATACCATAACGGCTTCCAAGCTTGAACTCTGCAAAAGTGAGACATCTTGAATGACGAGAGCGAGGTGAAAAAAATTATCTATTTTTCCTTGAACGCTTTGTTTTTGAATCACTGTCACTATCCTTCGACGTCGATTTTCTATGTTTATGCTTATGTTTCTTTTTCCTTTTCTTTTCACGTTTTGATTTTTTGCTTTTTCGTCTCTTCCTTCTTTCTTGACCGTCACTTGTATCCTCGCTGCTTTCCTGTGAATCGCTCTCGCTTGTTGTCGATTCTTCAAGTAACGCCTTCAGCTGCTCTATCCTGCAAGAGTTAGAGAAAACCTTTAACTATTAAGCTAGTAATTTTGCCAGATCATCATTCCCACAACAGCCTGCGCAGAGACAATTCCCTACGTTTCACATATTTCCCCGTGAGGAAACAGGCAAGAGATTTCGTGAATATGAGACAGACCACCTGTCCAAATCCGTTCATTTTCCGACCTAATAAGGTGGAATTCTGTAGGGAAAGTTGTTGGAAGTGACTGTAAAAGAACCCTTACAACCAAAGACTCAAAGCCCGGAGCATATCACTATGGTGTCTGTGCGCATGGGTAAAATATGTATCTAATGCTGATCTAAGATAACTTTACAATACCTATCAAACCAAATTCTACATAAGATCTGTTAACTACTGTTTTTAGAAATCCAGATTTAGATCTCTTCATTGGTTTCAAACCTTCGATTCAAATATTACAGACCTGCTTTGTCTTTCTGCTTTCTTTTTATCTTGAATAAACTCGTGCATGGGATCTTCATGCGCCTGAAAAGACAAGATTTGACTGCAGTGAAAGTTTGTTACTCAAATAGCTTAGCATGTGTGCCAACGTGGTTGGGTTTGAATGTCTCAGATTTGCAAAAAGAAAATGAAGAGAGGGGTGGTGCACAGCATTGGCGCTCTGCTCACATGGCTAACAAACATTCAAACAGTGAAATGAATCAAGACAGCAGGTACTATGGCTGACAAGAGACAAAACAGGCATTGAATTAGTACTCTACTAAAAAGACGTTAGGTTTTACCAACTTGCAAAAATGACTGAAGTGAAGTAACAGCTGACAACTGTAGAAGAACACACTTTCAATTGAAATACCTGTATTCAGTACAGGGAAACCAAGGGAGGGAGGGGCAGTATGGATGGGCAAACTTGGGCGGTGGGGGGGGGGGGAGTTAAAAGGAATGCCATTCAATTTGCAAAAAATTAATTATCAAGCACATGATTCCTAAGTTTTGAGATTTCAATTATCTTTGCTTGTTGTCAGTGATATGTTCATGATATTTGTCTATAAACATGCTTTATTTAGATTTAAAGCTCTAGATCAACAAAAATTGAACAAACAGAATCACCTTAAACACCATTACCCAAGGGCATTGCAGTACCACTTTTAATTAAGAGCAGTTTTTTCTCCTTTTTAATTTTTATACTTTGCTTATTTAAATAGCCTGTGAAAACAGACGTTTCTCCGGATTTATCGCTGCTGGGAGAAGGCTGAGGTAAAACCTCACTACTTGCCACCATTTTTTTCGCTGGTGTAATCGTGGTATAATTATGCAAAATTATCTTGTCAACCAATCAGTGCTTCCGACTGCATTCCAGACAGAGTTAACATCACCAGTATCAGGGTTTGAGCCAGGCCGCGCCATTGCGCCAATCCCGCACTGCAATTGGAATTGTCCCTTTAATAAACGGCCAAGGGGACAATTTGTCCCCTTCAAAATTTAGGGAAAAATTTCGAAAGAAAGCACACACGAAGAGATTTATTTCAGTACAGAAATTGCAAGCTGAAATAGAACGTGGAAAGTATATTTCATCGCACGTTTAAAGTTCATTCTAAAGTTACGTTTCAGTCACGCCGACAATCTAAGACAGGGCTTCTGATATTTCGCGCGGTCGCGGAGCCGCGAAATTCACAACAGCACGAAAAATACCGCGAAATTCGGTAGAAATCTTATCAAATACATGTCTGTACAACATATTTGAAACTTATTTCAGCTATAGGGGCTATTTACTTGCCGTAACCTTGCAAATTTATCTTGGAACTTCGTCACTGAAACGTGCAAACAGATTATGTTGCGAAAAACTGGGCACTAGCCATGATGTTAAAGGCTTTGCCATTGCTTCATTTCTGGTGCGTATTGTTGTTGAAAAACGTTAACAAGCGCAAAACCGATCGATTTCTAGCGAAATCTGCCTTGAAAATAACCACAAAATCGGCCGTTTTTTACCAATTGCTTTTCGGTGAAGTTTGCCCCGAAAACTCCCGCCAAATTCCCGCGAAATCGGCCGATTTTTCCGCGAATTTCTCCCTACAATCCCGCGAAATTTGACTTTTTCTTCCGAGACCTATCAGAAGCACTGCTAAGAAGACAAGCCCCTTTACATCAGCAGAAGGGTGTACAAATTTTTGTCCCCCTGAAAATGGAAATGTCCCCCAAAATTTTAGCCAAGGGGACAAATTGTCCCCCAGTGATCAAATCCTAGCTCTAACCCTACAGTATGGAATTTTTGTCACTGAGTCTGTTTTCGCAGGCTACCATTTAAACTACCAATACACTGACTACATGTATACCTGGCCACTTACCATCCTAAATTTTTCAATATTCCTATTCCCACTAATGAACAAGGGGCACTCCCTATCTCCTGTTCTGTGACCATAAGCTTTACAGCGCCAACCTACACGAAGTAAGCTGAGTTCAGTAAATACTGGTAATTAAACTTAGGGGTTCAGAGCTTGAAATAGTTTTGCAGCTGGCGCCGGTCAACCTGTTTCGGTCAAACCTGTTTTGCTCAGACACAACCCGTTTTTGACCAGGCAATTACAAGTACATATTAAGACATATCACTATAAAACTAATTTTTGGTCCATTAGAGGAGTAAAGGACCAGACAAAGCTTACTTTTGACCAGACATTGTCCCATTATTTCAAGACCTGGGGGGTTTCCCTGACTTAACCTTAGCAACCAACTTTAAGGGCCTATCTTAGAACATTGTCTGCCATATAAAGAGTCAAATATAACGACCCAGAGAACTGCAGGACCCAACTCTAATTTAATCTAATTTCTTGAGTCTGTGAATCAAATTCTTTGATATGAACTTTGTCAAAGAGCAGGGAAAACTAGGCTCATCTTACATTTCATCACTTTTACTTCCTTTCCAAGTGGCATCCATAGTCCTTTACTTGGAGCATGGGCAAGAAATTCTCGTGCATCCTTGTTTTCAGGTAAATCTGGAATGCAATCCTCTGGAAGCTCCTCTTCTTCCTAAAAAACAAAAATTACTTTGAAACGCTTCAACACAAAAATTCTTCTACTTCCCAATTGTCACCAACTGTCCTGAACAAACTAAATATTTGTCAGCCATAGGAGAAGAGTCCTCATAAATAAGTCCCATAATCGACAGTCATCTAAGAGGATTAGCAGCAAATTTTAAAGGAATATTATACCTATTGAGCAAATTTAAAAAAGTCCTTCTCTAGCGTAGAGCTAAAATTGATAAAATTTACCCAGTAAAGTTTACCATGTTCGTTAGTAGAGGGGACATGGCGCCTTTTCACATCAGGGCCTCTTCAGTTGTACTTTGACAATACTGTACTAACTACTCTCATACTTCTGAAACCCTTAACACTTGTCCAACTCATGAAATACTGCAATTTTCCACTGACCTTTACAATCCCAGGAGGAGGCTTTTCATAGCTGGAAAATTAAGACAGTACCACGTTAACTTTGTCAGCAACAAACAGTCAAAGGACCGCGACAAAGAGCTGACGTATCACCCTGATGTAGCCGGGTATTAAAATAAAGTGAAATAACCATAACCTTACAATGTTTCATAGTGTTTGGCTCTCTCGACATCGTCATTCTCACTGCGTTTTCTTTTCCTCCCCTCCTGTTTTTCTTTGTTTCTTTCTCTTTTCAGTTTAGTGGTACTCTTATCCGCCATATTAGTCATACACAGTCATACACGACGTAGAGACTGGAAGGGACGACCGCTGACCGGAAAAGTGCGCGTAAAAAGAAAGGTGCATTGTGGGATAACATTGAACAAGATGGCGGCCTCCTTACGTCTTGTTTGTAGGCGATTTGTTATTCGAAACAACTTTCGTTCTGTGGCAGCCCTTCATAGTTCTGTTCGAAATTTCGCTACGCCTGATAAAGTAACACATACTGGACAGGTAACTTCAGTTGTGTTAGTATTTTAGGGTAGAAAGAGACAGAGAATTGTAATTTTCAAAATCTTTGATATTTGAAACTTCTGAACTTGTATATACGTAGGTATGGGATGCAGGTGACTATAGAATGGCACGCTTCACTGACAGAACAAAGGAGGTATTGTTTTCAACTTAATGATACTTAATATTTTGACTTATTTAATTCGACTGCAAGGTGTTAATAATAATATAGGCTTCAACTTTATAAAACATGGGAAAATCGGCATCAGTGTGCCTTTACAGTAACCGGTCATTTCGCCCCCGAGTCATTTCGCCCCAGTTACTTAAGGTGCTTTCCATTATGCTGGAACAACCGGTCAGAGACCACTCGAACTAACCAAGGGAAAATGGAACACGTCAGAACCAAAACTCCGACGGAATTAATTGTTGGGTAAGAGAAAAAAGAGAAAAATGTGAGGAAACATCGTCTACAATCGGAGAAGCCAGTAATATATTTGTCTTTAAAAACTGATGAAAACCAGAAGAAAAAACAAATCAAGATACTCTGTTGTACCTGCGCCTTGTGTGCAACTGTGCATAAGGAGAAAGGTTAGGTCTTGCATCTGAAGCTTACACACACTGCACTCGTAAACTCTTACATCTGAACCATCCACCATTTTGACTACTGTGTGTAGTGACAAGCTGGAGCAGGACTGGAAATGAAAATTTCTGAAAATGGAACAATAATTTCCGGTCAGACTGGACCGACTGGTCGAAGAGGAATACCTCTGGAGGTGAACCACTTTGACTGGAAAATTTCCACCTAGGCCGAACTTTTCCATTTACGTTTGGACCATAATTTCCAGAAATTTTGGCATAATGGTGAGCACCCTTAGTCCCCTTTTTTCGAGTCAGTTAGCATGCTTCAATGAAATGTCCCTCTTTCTAAAATAGGAGGCTAAGTAACCTGGGCAAAATGACCATAAAGCGCCTTTACCAGTAGTAGGGTTAGAAATTTGAAAAGGAAGTGAAGAAGATGCTTCCAACAGAGTTTTTAAAGTAATTAATATCATTCATAAGAAGAGAAAAAGAGACAAACCCCTTTCCCACTTTTGTAGTGTTCCTCTCCCTTCCCTTTCCCACTCTCGGACATCGGTTTGTAAACCCTGGCAGTAAGGTTGGCACCTGCTGTGCATCAGATCCTGATGCAACCTCATATTGGCGAGAACACTGACTATTGACAGGTTTGATTGATGTCACTCTTTTGGTTGGCACATAGCATGCAATTTGATTTAAATAATTGCTTGTAAACAGATCTTCTGATCTTTAACATGGCGTCTTCTGACACTTGACTTATGAGTTTTTTAGCTGCAATGAATGTTCTTGCATTAGAGGGCAAATCACACTGACAAGAAACAATAACTGCAGAGAATCAATATGCGTGTCATGAACCCTCAGTATGAAATAAGTGCCAAAAATCACATTTTCTCAGTTAAACTAAACCCTCCATAGCATAATCTACCCACCAGGCCCCAGTTGTTGTTCAAAAGCTGGATAGTGCTACCCACGGGATAAATCACTATCCAGCAGATAAGTAGTAGGGAAACCAATTGCCTTATCCATTGGATATTGCTTTATCCATGGAATAGCACTATCCACCTTTTGAACAACTGGGGCCAGAGAAAAAACTCATTGGAAAAAGCAGCATATTGCACTAGGTAAAAGCTGTGTGTTGCCTACCGACCCCCTTTTTACACGTGAAATTGATTACATTCCAGTGTATCCAAGTGACAGATAATGATCTTGCTGACAGATGATCGGCAGGTTCTCATCCTTTCCGTCCCCTCTCCTCGCGATTTTTTCACCCTTTCCCCGAACAGAGAGCCTTTTGACAGGCTATTTTTATCATTGCAGGTAAACGAGAAGTTTGCGATTGACCTCGTTGATGAGGAACCACCCATAGAAGTACATGCACGCTATGTGTGGTGTGATGGAGGTGATTATTATTTTTTCCCCTCCATAAAACTTGGATATGAATCATTTTATTCTGGAAAGCAAGCATCCCTCCTCCTGTCACTGTATATATCATGCCACACTCATCTACATTGTACACAAATAGTGTATCTAGACAGTGCAAGTTCTGGAACATGCCATCTTAACCCTGATCAGTATTGTCATTGCTTTACCCTAATCAGTATAGTCATTGCTTAACTCTAATCAGTATAGTCAGTGTTTATGTGAGTGGCTAGCATTACCTTTGATTTAGAACAAACATATCCATGTAACAAGGCTTACTGCACAACTATATAACAGTACCTTGTAAATATCCCAGGTCAAAAAAATTAACCTGAAATCAAAGTTGACCTGTCACATGTATATTTTTTGAAACCCTGATATGTCTTCTTTCTAAATATGCACAACTATAGGTACTTTAACCTCAAAGGGAACTTTTGAGATGTTATTTAGTGTATGTATGTCAAAACTGAAGCAATATTACAGAAAAACTCAGGAGTCAGAGGGTTAAATCATGAAAGTATAAATTGTACATGTTTCATTGAAACATCATGATTCCTACATACAGTATGCGCCCCAAACTCCTAGATGGAAACAAATTAAATGTTCTGGCACTGCTTCACTTTCAAGCCGGTGTTTAAAGCCAAAACATGTTTTTAATGAATGAACAAGTCAGGTTACTGAATTCAAAGTATATCTTGTGGTCCAATTTTTTCTTTGGTTTAAAGTTTTTATTACATCGTAGTTGTTGTTGGTTTCAAACTCGTTATCATACATTAGTATTCTCAGAAACAAAAGAGAATAAAATTTAAACAAAGAATATATTTGAACCACAATATTTATGTACATGATTTATTGTTATTTTTAGGAGGTGGTGCTCTTGGACATCCAAAGGTGTACATTAACTTGGTAAGACTGTTTATACTTACAAATAGTGTTGGAAATTCTCTCAGAATTCTTAATCGATAATCAGAAATAATAGGATTGACCCACCTAAGTGATCGTTGATTATAACCAGAAAAAATCTCTTTACAAGAATTCCATTTTATTTTTGCCACTGTACCTTGTTTTAGAACGTGACTAAAACATTATGTAGAACATGAATCAGAAAACGGACATCAGTTAATTTGGCCCTGCTTGCCATAAAGTGCCAGTGGCTCGGTGGTTAGAGTGTCCATTCTCGAACTCAGATGGTCCTCTTTTGCCTGGAGCTCAGACATTTTTTGTCTTCTTTGGGATGATTCAATTCTCTTTCTTTCCTCATGACTATTATGTTTAATTGCCAACAAGAAACTTTTTTCCCACAATCATTGATTGAACATTTTCCAAAATTGATTTAATATCGTGTTGCTTAGAAATTTCAGTCGATGATTGGCACACCTCTGGTTGAGTTTCTGAATAGCCAGAAGCTGGTCAAGGTTTTTATATCACATCACTAAATTACAGATGGTCTGATCTGCATTGTTTTGTCCCATTTCTAGATTTGCTTCTATGGTTAAATAAAGCAAACTAGGTTTAGGTATTTAGGGCTAGGAAAGATTCAAGCAGTAGTGGTGAGGACTTTCTGGAAATTTTTGCAAATTCCAGGTGCCGACAAAATTTTCAACTTCTTAGAAGCAAATTTCAGAACTCCAGACAAGTTCAGTCAAAGGTACAAAGAGAGTGTGCCCTAAAAACTTAAACATCCTATTTTCGTTAAATAATGAAGTTTTGGGCACTTGTGGGAGGAAAACTTGCGAGGGGTTGTAGAAACTGGAGTCTCAAACTTCCTTTTGGCTCAGTAAATAAGTTATCCCTATCACTGATTCTTACAGATGCATCTTTATTTTCTCTTACAGGATCAAGAAGGACCACATGCTTGTGGTTACTGTGGCCTGAGATATGTTATGGCCCATGACCATCACTAAAAATATTAATATGCTGTGTTTTTGCTCTAAACAATTAAAACATTGCTGTTTATCATGTTTTCCAGAAAAATGAAAATGTAAATACTGTTTTCACCGTAATCAAGAACTTAAATCTTAAATAAAAGTTTCATTAACAAAATAAAATGTTTAGGGGAAACCTATTCGTAAATCACTTTGTAAACATATTTTTCATGAGGAAGGATATGTGGTTGTTTCGGTAACATCTAGTTCTTGACCTCTGAGTCGTTTCCTAAAGTTCTGTGAAAGAGAACTCTTTTCATGCAAAAATACCCTGTGTACAGACGGAAGGGGCTTCTGTACACAGGCTAATGCCAAAGGCTATGAACAAGAAATAATTTTATATTGTGTCTTTCTGAGCTCAGAACGAGAAATGATATTTTATAGCACATAAATAAAAGTATAACACATCAGCGAACTCCCAAACGGCAGTGAAATGACTGGTTATGCAAGGAAGGGCAGAGGCGTTTACATGCCATGGTTTTGTGTTAGTGCTGAAGTGAAGCACGGCCATTTTACCCTGTGTAGCTGGCGGTTTTTTAGGTGTGATTTTCGAGTCACAAAAGAAAAAACACACCCCCAAAAACCCCGCCAGCTACACACTCTAGGTCATATACCAGATGTAATGTACAAATTTACTTTTTGTGCCACTGTTTACTGCTTACAAATTTACTGTTTGTAATGATGGCCGCTTGAAAAATACTTAGGCAGAGTAACCACACAACACCGAGTTGAACAGAGTAGTTTGGACATACACTGTGTTATCAAATGACCGGTTCAGAAAACGTGATAAAGGTGCAGGTATTAACATTAGCAAATTAAAAATAACTACAGCTTCTCTTTTATTTCTTGACGAGAGACAAACTTAAAGTTACGCTGTTTAGGTAATAAAATTTTGCTGCTAAGAAAATTAAATAGAAGGAAAAGGGCAGGACACTTCTGGGTGAGGGAAGATTGATGATAATCACTGACTAATAACTGTTACTGGGTAAAAAATAACATAATCTGCCATCCAATTCTCCTAATGCATACCAAGCACTCTAAACACACTTCAAGCGTTTCATGCACGTACTGCCTCGCTCATGCGTACCTATACGTCTCTGTGGCTACAGTGGCTATGGAGTAACCTGAGATCAGGCTCAATTTTAGCGGTTCTCATACATTCTCTCTAACGGCTACTGCTAAAAGTTTGTTTTCGTTTCGCCTTGCCCGTCGGAATGTTATTACAAAGCGAAACGAAAATTGATCCTGATCTCAGGTTACTTTGGAGTGGCTGGGGTGTAAGGTGTCCAGAAAAAAATTGCCATGACAAACCTTTGTTCACAAAATGACATGTTCGCTTCTGTTCATTTAATTAGGCACGCCTGCAAACACGAGGAATCGATCAGTGTTCTCGAAAAAATTATGTGCATTACTATACGTTTAGCTGAGAAAAAAATCCCCATTTGAACCAAAATGAGTTTTCAGTGGAGCAAGCCCCCAGGCTACCCTAGCGAGTGGTGCCTTTGGTGATTGTTGTTCTGTCCTTTTCTGTGCTAAAAGTCTGGCTATGTAAGGTCCTGAGAGATCACCCGTCTCAGAAATGATTGAGGTCTATTGAACTAGTCGTTCGGAGATATTCAACTTTATTTGCAAGATTTTTGTGACTTTCAAAATAACTGTTATAAACTTTGATTTATAAACACTATCTTGCCATAATAACAGCTTATAGGCAAGCTGAATGTAACACTAAAAGACTAAAATTGTTGCAAGACTATAAAAACAGAGGGACAATGAACTGACTGAATACGATCTACGAAGCTTCTATGACTAAATTTATCGTGTAGCTCTGACCAAAAAATGTTTACAAATAACTAATTTACAATTTAAAAATATCATTTAATTACATATGATTCTGAATATATTCTTATCTTTTTGTCTGTAAACTAGGCATTTAACAGGTTTTTCGCCAGAAACGAAGAGCGAGAGTGTCTGTTTATGAAGTGCTTTTGTTGGACAGTCTTGAACTGCTGCAAGAGTTCCTGAAAATTGATTCTCTGCACATGTTCACGACATGGAAAGTCAAGTAATCCCCTTTTGTCACTGTAAGAGAAAAGGAATGAAACGTTAACGATTTAGGAAAATACTCGATTTACGCTTCATGGAAGCTTTTAAGAAGGATCTCTCTCTCCCTCTCGTTCTCACTCTCTCTTTTTTCCAAGCACTTTTCACGGAGTGTGCAAACACCAACCACTATCTTGAATCCTGGAAAAGGCTACACTTTTTTCCGATTTTAACCGTTGAGGTACATTTGTAGAAAAAGGTGGGGGAAACCGCCACTTGAGTACATAAAAGGGCCGTTCGTCTAGAAGCGGTACAAAACGACTCCTTTTCACTCGAAAACTTTATTGTTGAGTACCCCCTACATTGTGACTTCCTCGTAATAGACTGAATAGAACTTAAGTTTCACTCAAAGATCATTACCTGAGATCACATGAGAGTACCCTCCCATTTGGTACACAGTCCAGTCTGTTCCGTAATGTAGTAAAAGCATCACTTTGAGGAAGAAGCATCAATAAGCCGTACAATGACTTGAGAAGAAAATGATTGTGTTGTGTGTCCAACAGCTGAAGGCGCAAGTCTGAATAAATAAAAGTAAAAAGCTACAGTTTTAAGTTTTTGCTTCCCACAGTACCAACAAAATCAGACTTAAGAAAAATAAACAGTAGTGAGTACTCTAACAAAGATGTGGTAATAAAGAGATTTCATTTAAATCGGGCTAGATCGTGGGATTTTGTCCACGGGATGAACAGTGTGAAAACTGAAAACATATCAGTGAGTTTACGCAACAGGACGGTACTAGGAAGAAGAGGATGGCAAAACGTTTGTGTGTGACAAACGTGACAGGACCATTACTTACCTGTTTTGTCGTGATCTTCACTTAACATTTTATGTTTTCTTGTCTATTACAAACAGATCTGTTTAAAGGAAGGTTAGGTTTGGCGGAATGTTTTTTCAAACAAAGTTATTGTCACGTTTGTCACACAAGGTTTGCCGTCTTCTTTCGTCTCCCTGCTCTCCCGTACTGTTGCGTAAGTTCACTAATAACTAAATAGCACCTCGTGAGTGTACTGCTGAAAAGGTACGACAATAGGGCCATTTGTACGAGGAAACATAAGACGCGTCTTAAATAGTACGCGAACTTTCCGTATAAACGGCACACTTCGTTTAAAATAAGACGCAGCTTAGCTAAGACGCGTCTTATTATAGAACAGCCCTTAACACCTGTTCTTAGATAAGACGCGTCTTAGCTAAGACGAGAAAAGCTTCGTATAAATGACCTTCGCGTCTTACATAAGACGCGAACGCATAGTACGCATGCGTTAATTTTTGGCGCGCCACGTTGGATTGCCGTTGCTACGGGCAACATTTACATGAAAACGAGTCAAGAACAGAAATAAGACGCGAACCATTTATACGAGCTGTTCTCGTCTTAGATAAGACATGTTCGTATAGATGGTACAGTTCGCGTCTTATGTAAGACGCGTTTTATTTTTCCGCGTATAAATAGCCCTAGGTCCACAGACTGAATAGTTAGAACTGTGCGGCATGAAACAAATTCATTAAAATAGTACCATGTAAAAATACGCAACCAAAGTGGTTTGAAAAGAATGGTCACACTATAGGTTTCAGTGAACCGAATCCAAAGATGTGGAATCAGGACAAACCTGGCAATTCGGAATAACATTTAAAATCCTGAGAAATCTTTAATGATCGCGCTGTTAGATTTTACCAAGAGCCATAATAGGACAGTGTCGTATTATAGCTCTTGATTTTACATGCCAAGATAAAGCCATGCGTACTTACATGTAAATATGGGAGACTCTATGAGTTGAACAAGTTTGTCTATCTGGATGAGAAATTCAACATTCACTTCCAGTTGTCCACTGATGGAATGAATGTCAAGGGATATAACTGTTGTAATGATAGAGCGGTTTTCACTTGAGTGTCGAAAAGTAATTGGTTTTGCACTTTCTACACGATGCGATTGGCTTAAAAGATTCGCGCCACCTTTTCATCCAATCAGAAGTAAAACCAAAGCCAATTTGCGTCAGCCACATGTAATTACTTCGAGTTTTGATTGGTTCAATGTATTGTCTGTGTCCTATGTGATTGGCCAGAGTAATTACTTTGGTTTTGGTTTTACGACACTCAAACGAAAACCACTCTAACAACATAAATCATAAGAATATCAGCTTGCATGGCCACAGCGACGCCATACCCACAGCCTTCACTTTTTCACTGTTCAGATAGCCTACTCCGTAGATGTGCCTTTTGGCTCGTCACTACTGAGTAGCGTTGCCTGAGCAGGGGCGGATCCAGGATATTTTTTAGGAGGGGGTGCACTCGTCTCTTGATCTACTTCAACACCAATAAACCACATAGTTTTTTTTTTTTTTTGCAGTATACCAGTTGTATTAGAAAACCGCAAGTCATCTCGGGGGGGGGTGTGTGCACCCCCTGCACCCTCCCCCTAGATCCGCCCCTACTGATGTTCTAGGCGACTGCAAGCAGTGCTACAAACTACAAAGTTCGTACTCTCTTAAGCTCTTCAAATTCCATGACTTTCCATGACTTTTTTCATGGCCTCTCCTAGTTTTCCATGACCAAGGTGCCACGTTAAAAATTTCTCAACAATTTGCTTGTTTTAGGGTATTTTTTGACCTAACTCAGTAATGACATCTGCAGTGACTAATCTATACCAAACTAATTTTTTCATGACTTTCAAGGACCGACAATTAAATTCCATGACTTTCCAGGCCTGGAAAATAAAATTCTTAAATTTCATGACTTTCCAGGTTTTCAATGACCTGTACGAACCCTGAACTATAGAATTTACCGACGCCAACAAAAGTACAAAATGTACGGTATGATCTAGAAGTAGGTCACGAGGTTAAGTTACATTTAAACTTTAGGGATTAAAACGCCGGTCATAAGATCAAAACCAAAGTAACAAAGAAGCCAAACACAATGCATGCACTAGACAGTCACGTTCAAAGGAACCAATCAGATCTCAAAGCAAATACACGCCTACACCAAGCGCGGGAGACACGTGTGACCTTGTGTCAGTGCGTTAAGTTTTAATTCAAATTTGTTGAGATTTTCAGCCAATTACATGGAGTCAGAGTAGGACTTTCAATAATCAAAACCTGTTCTGATAACCAAGATAAATCGTATAATAAATGCGGAAAGGATGGTGATTGTAAAGGATACAAAATCATGAGAAGATCGCAAGCATGTTTGTAGTTTTGTGTTAATAAGCACAAGGAGACTGTTGCAACGGGATTATGACACCACGATTGATATAAACAGCAAAACAACGAACAGCTATCCTAGAAGAGAAAGCAAAGCAGAAGTAAAAACTAAATTAAAGTGAAAAGACACTGTACAACAACAACGGGTTCAAAGTCGTCATTAATTTGACCAACGTCACTGGAAAATTTTCTTTAACCTCATAATTCAATCTCGTTTTCTGGACTGGATAAGAATGTGTTACGTGCTATGTGCAAAACTCTTTTTAAAGTCCCTAGGCCGAACAAAACTCACTTGCCATGTCCCTAGGGAGCTAGTCGCACCAAATCAGTTCCTGTACTTCGAGACCGCGGGAAATCTATGTCCAAGTATTCGCAGTCGCAGCCGAGAAACTAACTAAAATAATGCTCAGGAGACATATTGTTTGTCTCGGATCTCTGATTTTGTCATGTACCTGTAATTTCTTTGCTTACTTTAAGTTCCATAGCGATTAAGGGCGAGTAATTGGCAAAATTAAACAATGTGTACTGGGCTGTCGTGACACAGCCCCTTTCAAAGATTTGTTTCATTTTGACTTGGAAAGTATAAGAAAGCACTGAAAAACAGACCCCACACGCAAACAATGATCTTTCTTATTCTCGACCCTCAACGTTCTCTGAAGTAAAACAAAACTCGCTGTTTCCTTGAGGCCAGCCAAGAGTACTTGACGCCGAACTGAGGGATTCCCTAAGTCAAAAGCAAAACACATTCTATATTAACTGTTACTTACAGGCGTGGCCAGTTCTCTGAGCTGGTCCCGGAGATCAAACAGTTCACTGGATGTCAGCAAAATCATGTTCAAATATCGCACCATGAGAGATGCAAACAGCAAGTCCTCTTCTTGAACAATTATCTCTGATAATGCTCTGTAAATGTCTTCTGCATTTAACAGAAGACAGAGCTGCCTAAAGAACGATAAAGATAAAAATTGAAACAGCAAATTTCAGTTTTCTCGTAACAGTACGTGCGCTAAAAAAAAGTAACAGGAGCCGCAGGAGGTGTTAGATGCGTTGTTAGCTTCAGATTTAAAATATACTGAATTAATCAGCACTTAGTGTATTTTAAGAGTTGTAAAAATATAAGTGGTACACTCAATCAAAGCAGGTATAACTTACCTCAAAATAAAAGAGCCTCTTTCTTCCAGCAGTTTTCTATCTGTCCTAAACAACTGCATGACATTGTGCATGAATTTGTGAAAGTACGTATTGAGCTGCCTGTGAGGGGCAGATGTCTGATCTGATGAGCTGCTGACCGGGGAACCAGCTTCAGACATGCTTTGAGTTGAACTATTCCTTGGAGGTCCAGCTGGGGAGGCAGAAATTTCCGCAAGTGCCTCCAAATCAAGAAGAACAACCTGCAAGAAAAGAACTTTATAGTTTGTTTGTTTGTTTTTTTTTTCACACTGTATAAGTGTGGAGCTAAAGGGTGAACATGGCAAAGGTCATAGTGGGTTTAAAGTGATACATTTTTTTTTTTAATTATTTGTATTTTATTCATTTTTTCCATTTATTTTATATTACAGGCCATTTATAATATATATCCCCCCTCCCCACCCATATATTACAGATTTGAAGATATCATTCACAAGATTTAAGAATCAGATTACAAGAAAAAATGGAGAAGGGTAAGATATAGAAACTAATTACATCACCTTTGCTTAAATTACAGTTTTATTTCGGATAAAAGAGAAAAAAAAGAGAAGCATATAAAGTATGAAATATAAAAGAGAGGAAACAGGAAAGAAACACATAAATATAGAACATACAAGGGTCAGTGTGATACATATACACATGTACTAATATGCCTATAATGCAGAACAACATTAGTTGTCAGAAAATAAATGCAATGTTCACATCCTCATTTTGCTGAAATCCTTCAGATTTATTGATTATTTATTATACACCAGGGTAGATTTGTTTCAATCTTCTGCATTGTGTTCACATGCATTACACCTGGCTAGGGGTTCCTTATATCGAGTTCTATTCTAAACAAATTTAACTTAACTGTAACTTAAGAGGGAGGGTCTCTGTACTTCATGGTTGCACTGTACATACCTCATCTGAGGGATCTGATAAAGTATCCAACAGTTTAGGGAAAAGCTGATCAATTTGACCAAAGATCTGTAAATTAATATATGAAAAGAACCTAACCATCAAATTCAGAGACTTGCCTGATAGCAACCTACAGTAATGTAATATGCAGTACATAATTATCTAGTAAAAGATACTTGATGAATGTGTAATTCATCGTCCATGTAGTAAATTTAATATATAAAATTAATGGTGTCTTCAAGACAAAGAGACATTCACTGCGCACTAGAAATATGTTTATGACCTGCAGGGAAACAAAATATTGTACTCTGCCCAATAACAACAAGACTCATGTAACAAGTTGGCCAACTGCATTGCAGGCCAATAAGAAATGCAGGGTGCTTGACGGGTGATGCATTCAAAAGAGGAAGACATGAGAAGGGCAGTAAACTCTTATTCTCAGCCTAAATTTCTTGTGTGCTTGCTACTCAGGCTAGTCAAAACTAATTTCTTTTCGTTTTTGTTGGAGATGTACAAAGTATTTTGTCAAGGCTGATAAAGAAAGTAATAACTAGATAGTGAATAAAAAGGGTGAAAACTTCAAAACTACAAAAATACCACTTTTGGCTTATTTGTCATCACTTTTCCATACCTGTCCAAACAATTTAATAACAATCACATGATTCAAAGTGTTTAAAGTAACTATGATTAAACACCTTATCCCAAAATTGTGGCAACACCACTTATTTATGTTTATCATCCCTCTATGCCTCAAATTATTCACCTGGAGAATTAAAAAGAACTTTTACTTTGAAGCAAGGCATTGAGGGCCAATTATCATGAAGACAAAAGAAAATCAAAAGTTGACGCCAACTTAGAATAAGGTGTAAAACTACCATTGAACTGAATCAAATCCCTTGAAAATTTAAGAGTTGGATCAGTACCAAGTCTAACTAACCTTATTAGGGGTCTTTACATGCAGAAGCAACACCCATCGCAACACAGCTATTCTGGTCTGAATTGACTTGTGAGTCATGTAAAGGGTGAGTACATCTACAACAGGACCAACATCAAGCTGGGTTTGAGGCTCAACAACAGCGTTATCACAATCCATGGCTACACTGTCACTGTCAAAGTCTTTGTCATCATCCTCAGTGATCAGTCGCATTAGACTTTGATTGACAGCTTTGGCTACTTCTTTGATATTTAGACTAAGTCAAGGTTAATTAACAGAATTCTAACAGAATTTTTCACTTTATGCTATTTAAACTAATAAATTTATTTCATTCACATTTAGCTGTCCCCATGGGGTCTCTGAGCATAAATTATAGGTGGTTGATTATAATACATGTATGCAATATTAAAGGATATTTTGTTTGTCTTGTTCGTAAGCCATGCATGGTAATATTGCTTTTAAAATGCCAGCATTGAAGGGCAGCATTGTGCGCCCTGAGAGTATAATAAACTCTCTCAACCAGGTGATAGCAGTAAACTGAATGACATCATCTAAAGGAAAAAACAGGAAAGAAACTCACTTCATTGAAGCCATGTTATCTACAACTGTAAGATCAAACGTAAAATATCAATGAATAATAATATTAATTTTAAATTAAGGTATGATTGTCGCACTGAGTGGTTATTGCAATTTAAGGAACTGCAAATTAACCTGAAAAAAATCTCGGACTTCAACGGGATTCAAAGCCATGGCCTCTGTGTTAGGGCTGCAGTGCTCTACCAACTGAGCTATGAAGACCCATACATTGGGAGCAGGCCAATTTGTTGAGTTCATCTTAACGCGTGAATGGAATGAAACATAGAATGAAGATGACACAGTAAAGATTCTGCTGTTGGGACATATTACAGGAAAAAAGAATGAAGAGATGATAGAATGAAGATGACAGAGTGGAGATTCTGCTGATGGGACATATTACAGGAAAAATATATCCATCAACACCAGCAACTGGATGGATTAATTCTGAAAGCTCTGCTTAAGTTTCAAAAAATTGTTGGTGTTGAAGAATAGTTTTTCCTATAGAATGAAGATTATGTGAACTGTGGAAATACAAATTTCAGTTGCTAAAGCACTGCAGCACTAACGCTGAGGCCATGGTTGCAAATCCAGTTGAAGTCCTGAAGGTTTTTTTGGGTTAATTTGCAATAATTGCTTAAATTGCAATAACTACTGCAACAATCATATCTTCATTTAAAACTTGTATTTCCACAGTTCACATCATCTTCATTCAATAAATAATATTATTATTATTTGCCCAAATTACATAAAGCCAAAACACACATAAGATACAAGGAAGAAAGGTATTGATTTTTTTTAAATTTGTATGAATGATGATAACAATGATGATGATGATGATGTCATAATGATGGCATTATGATAACAATGATGTTGATAATTATGATCATGATGATGATGATTATATAACTATGTGCACGTATCATAAGGATTAAAATTTCGTACAAGTATTAACTGAGGCAATTACCTTCTGATTGTGAATGTAAAACCAAAATGTTGACCATATTGGCAAAGTTGACATTTTTAGATTCTCTCTTGATCCCTCTAAGGAATTCACCCAAGACTGCTTCACACCTACACAGTTGCATGAAAGGCATTAGTATTATTCTGAGTAAAACTTGGTTTAAGGATTCTTTAGATAGGGGAAAAAATGAGCTTGTTACTTATTTTCCACTTGATTCTTGATAATTCCTATACATGTGTGACGATTAAATATAGTTTGAGAATTAAGAATCAGTCATTGAAGATCAAGCTGAGTTGAGAATCCCCACTCATGAAAAAGAAACATAATGACCTTGCTGGAAATTTTATCAATTTTGGAATGTCTCGAAGTTTCCATCCACTCTCTACCCCTTAACGCTCCATTGTGACTTACATTTTTCTGATTTCTGCATTACGATCCTTGAAAATATTGAAGAGCCCATCAAGAAACTCTGGGAGGTGGGCAATAAGATCCAGGTCTGGAACCGCATCTATCACCATGAGCTAAAACAGAGAAACAAAAGTCCACATTACCCTTTAACCCATCTCTTAAAGGATACAATAAATGAGAACAAGTTATGTGTTAAAAAATTTCCAACCAGTTTAAAAATTTCAAACTGGTTTCAAAAAATTTAATCTGGTTTAAAAAATTTAAAACCAAAGATTAAATTTGAACCACAAAATATATATAATTATGTTACAGGTCAAATTTGATCTGAGGTTAATTTTGATTTAACCTAGGTTGATGCTCAAGTTCCTTTCATAAGTCATCTAGCCCTGGTAGACAAAGGAAATCAAGAATCAACCTCGGTTAAAAATTTTTAACCTGAGAGCAAATTTGACCTGTAACATATACACACCGTGTTGATGTCTGTCTGAAGAACAGCAACTTCAGTATGGATTTTTTTTTTGTTATTGAAAGTGGTGGATAAAATTGAACCTAAAACAATTTTAGAGCTACAAAGGTATCTATAGTTCAGTTCAGAGATAGGAAAACAAAATGCAGATGCTTTTATGCCCTACAACACTCACCCAAGACACTAAAAACTGCTTTGCAAATGGATTTGCTGTATAAATTCTGTCTCTCAACAATGGAATAAAGGACACCAAATCAAATGAGGAGCTTTCTGTCACAATATCCTAAGGTACAATTCAAAATATTAAAAATTAATTAAGTGATGAAATCATAATTACGATAACAAGTTGACATGTTTCTTGGTACACTGTATACACATAATTCACAGATTAGATTTTATTGACTACAGAAGTTATTTAGTGGCCTTAGCTCCCACAAGTCTCCTGTACTTTACTGGTAGAGTTCTATCTGGACAAGTGACAACAAGGTCAGAGGTTCCGCTCCTACTGGCAGTACTTGGATTTTTTCTTCCGAGCCGCCTGTGTCACTGACTGAAAAATCATCTTTCTCAATTTAGCATTTTCACATAGACCATAATGTTCCTTGTTTACCCCTCAACATTTTGCATTACCATTTCCTTGGATTTCTCTTGGGACAACTGTAATACCCAGGAGAAATTGGAAAAAAGGGTCCTGCAGTACTTTTTTTTGGCAGGGGGGGGGAGTGGGGAGTGGTGGGGTAAATAAGGTGCATTGTGGTCTATGTGAAAGTAGTGAATTTCTGGGATTTTTAATGCCTGTAATTTTATACACTACATGTACATATAACAGAGACAATACTCTGCTGTTTTTCACCAATGATGTCATGTTACTTACTTTTATCAACCTGTCAAGAAGCTCTGCTCCGTTTTTTACATTTGGATCTGGATCAGCTGCAAGCTGAACAGTCAACAACAACAATCACTTTGAGAACTTGCACATTAGGTTTAAAAAAGATAATAGCATTATTTCAGACCATTGCAAAGTTTTAGGAGGGGAATGAAAATACAGTGAACAAAACTAACTCATTGTGGATATACGTAGATTTTGTACCTTGTAAGTTATAAAAGTGACCTTTATTTTTTCCTCCTGTTTGTTTATTCCCTTCTGTTTTGTTTTGCTAAACTAATAATGATGGTTTGCTGTTTGTACTGTATAATGCATTATTCCTACGTGGATTGTCGGTTGGCTGAGAGACTGACAGATATTGCTTTATTGATTAATATTGATTATTATTCATTCAAAATATTTCCCCGATTCTGATTGGCTAATAGCACACGCTTAATTCACCATAACCAGTTACTGATGACCAAATTTGGAAGAAATTTGACTTTAACGAGGAAATGACGTCAAAAATGCAGCGTTTTCGCAGGTTAAGGCACCGTTAACCGAGGAGACCTGGGGACGAGGTTGAGTTGTTTTGGTTGTGAACTTGAAAAAATGGCGGACATTTCACTCGTTTCAAGAGTAAGAACTAGGCGAAAAAATAGCTAAAAACATGGCAAGAACAGCAAGAAGGCAACTCGAAGGGCGACATCTGCTATTTGGAGAATATTCGCGGAGCTGGAGATAACTAAACATACACCATCGAAGATGAACTGAACATCGATGGATCGATGGAGGTAAGCATGTTTTAGCTATGTTTTTAAACTAGGAATTATTTTGAATGAATAATAAAACAGTTATTGAATTCGGCTTTCGTATCATATGAAGAATTATGGAGATCTCGGAGGGTATAATCCGCCTCGGCCTACGGCCTCGACGGATAACATCCTCCTCGATCTCCATAATTCTTCATAAGATACTCAGCCTCATTCGTTAACTGTTAATTCATTGATTCATTGATTCATTGATTCATTGATTAACTGATTGACTGATTAATTGATTGATTGACTCTATGTCTGTCTTACTGGATAACTGTCTATAGATCTTACTAACAAACTGCCTGACTTACTGAATGTGTAACTGAAATAGTTTGTAACAATAGGCTTTTGTAACAGATCGAGTTTCATTATGTAATGATTTCACACGTGACTGTTGGTGTGTTTCTTGCCTGAGCGGCTGTTTAAAATACATGATTCGTAAATCACTCCAGTCCTGGTGCTTGAGTCCTTATTTGAACGCGTAGCACTTTTACACGGTTGACTAATTTACTGACTGACTCAGTGATTGACTGCATGGTAAGGTATTACTCACTTTACTGAGGCCATCAAATACATCATTGAAGAATGGTAATACAGAGCCTCTTGCTACCTTGGCAATGTTATACAGAGCTTCACAAGCATAGTAACGTACTCGGCTGTCTTGATCATAAAAACAAGCCAAAACTGGAGGAATAAGATTCTTCAGGTACAGCCCAGCATCCTTGAGAGAAAAAGAAGTTGTAAAATAAGTTTGTAAGTAGTACACATCTGACATGCTGACCTGTACATGAGATACACATTCAGTAGTTTCGTGTGAGAGACCACTCTACTAACTCTCACAGACACTTTGTTATCATGGACGCCAGCACTTATATGAATGGCAAACAAACTTCTCACAAAACAAACTCATTATTCTGTCCCAAAGTCATAGCCATTGGTATCGAGCAACCATAAAATTTCTATCATCGCCTTAGTCTAGATTCAGTTAAATTTTTGTTTCTTCTGTTGTGTATTTATCTAATAATTGCTCTTCTCCACCTCCTTAAGCAGTCTTACTATATACTCTCACTCCTATGAATAAGGTCCATTCTGTCTTTATGTGAAAACATTACCGTAAAATTCTGAAAAATAAGCCCCGGGACCTATATTTTTCAAAGGCCCTTTTTGAGGGGCTTATTTTTGGAGGGGCTTATGTGTACAGAGGGAAATTTGAATTTCAGTATCGGCTAGGCTTATATAATACTGGGAGGAAAATTTACATTTCAAAATCGATTGGGCTAGCTTACAATTGGAAGGAAATTTATGCTACTCAGAAATTTGCAGAAAGTTTTTACTGAAACTCGCCTTGAGGACATGGATCTTACTAAAACACAGCCATGCAAGTACATTGTCTATATGGAACAAGGAAATCCAAGCCAAGGTTAACAGTAAAGGACGCAAACAGCAGGATACTGTGAAACTTTTTGACTACAATCATTTGGCACATTTAATAGTTCTTTGGCAAACGCAAAAATGTATGGGTTACTATACAGTTTTTGCTTAGGGGGCGATTTAACTGAGGGTCTTTTTGCTTTACAAGTTTGGGGGGCTTATATTTGGAGGGGCTTTTACATGGAGGGGCTTATTTTCAGAATGTTACGGTATTTTACGGTGTTGTTTTGGAATGTGCTGATTAAAAAACACCCTATCATTGCCGCACTCTGAAATAATTCAAACAAAGTTGGCACAATAATAGTGAGTTTACGCAACAGGACAGCAGGAAGAAGAGGACGGCAAAACGCTTGTGTGTGACAAAGGTGACATTGCTATTACGAGTTTTGTCATGATCTTCACTTAACATTAATGTTTTCTGGTCTATACAAAAAGATTCGTTTAATGGGAAGTGAAATTTGGCGAAAAATTATTTCAAACAAAATTATTGTCACGCTTGGGACACAAAGTTTGCCATCTTCGTTACTCTGCCATCCTGTTGCGTGAGTTCACTAATAACAATAATTAACTTATGTGACTTCTTGGTCTTCTTGTAGTAAAGCTAACTGAGGAAGTACACAGTAGAAGTTGACTGACTGTATTTGTAAGGATACCTTTCCTAAAGCAATGGCGGTAGCTGCAAGCCCAATAAGCCCTCCTTTTCTGGAGTGATTGTTGTGGGAAACTGCAAACTCATCAGCAAGGACAGCAGTCAATCGTGTTATTTGCCGGACATCATTATTGGCGACAAACTCTTTGACCATACTGATAGTGAAACGAAGATTCAAAGAAGCGAGAATTACCTCGACACGAATACGTCAGCGAGCAAAACGTAAGAATTATAGCAAATCAAAGGCAAAATGACTTTAATACAATCAACAGAACTGAAATCAAAAATGAACTCGTGTAAGAGTTAGATCAAACGAAAACATGGCGGCTAGTCAAAACGCCAAAACGTTGGCTTACCGTTCAATTTCCAAGGCAGCTGTTTTCCTTTTTTCGTACAATTTATCGTTCAATCCACGCACAATGTTCTGTGTTAAGGGTAAAAAGTCTTTCTCTGCCATTTCAAAGAAGAATCGAACCACATTTGGACGAAATTTCACACTGAGAAATACAAGACTGCAAGCAGTTATCTTACAGGCGTACCATGCTGTTATAACGCTCGACCCAGGCCTAAATTGTTCAAAAGGTCACTTTAAAACCCCTGCGAAGGTCCACCAGAATTTTTTTTTTCTTTTTTTTTTTTACTTTTCCTTATTCGTCTGCCATGATTCCGTCTTTGAGGTTACTCCAATACTGTTTCACCATTGTGGCATATTGTACAAAGTGCCAATATTTCTTTTCCAGAAATGAGATGCAAATAGCGTGATTTTGAACATCTGACATATCCTGCTGTTCAGGAAACGAAACGGGGTGTCCGAATCCACATCGATCACTTCATCAATAGAAAGCGAGAACAAAAAGTTCCAAGATTTAATCTGCCCCCTCAGCAGATTCAATTAGACGCCTAAGTTTAAAAATTTCTTTTCGTGATATGAATGCTGCAATTCAAATATTCAGTATTATGAATTTTTGCTTGCCATTGACCTTGCTTGTTTTAATAGTGCAGTTGAAGAGATAAAAAGGCTTCCCTTCGTTGAATCAACCTCTTGTTACCAAAGTCCGTTCGATTTTCAGTCGAAGTCATTCCAATTTTGATGTTTATTACCAGCATTTTCTCAATTAATCTCGAAATCTGCTAGAAGCCAAACCTTTATACCCGTACAAACTTGATCACGACCCGAGAGGATAAAACCCTTGAATCCCATTTTTTATCGTTCCACGGAATTATTAATGGCTGACTGAATGCCTATATTTGCGGGCATTTATAAACTGAAATCTGTTGAAGCTTCCCCTGCCCTCTAAACAGTAATCATAACATGCGTAATACATGATCCTATTATAGCTGTTAACTTCTGTAATCAATTACGTTTCAGAGGACTGAATTTTTGCCAGTAATAAGGGAAAGTCTTGGAGATGAAAGAGGTAATCATTTTGGGTTACCCGGAGCTTCTTAATTTGTAACAAATTATCCATCATCAGCTAAGGCACCCGTGGGCATGTTATGGCATCTTCCCGGCAATTTTCTCTACACTCACTACATGTAATTAGCGGCAAATCATTATATCCACCAGATGTATCTCTGCTTTATTTGACATGATAATCTCTTTATTTCTATATAATTTTCTCTTAGAAGTGGAACTACAAATTTTATTCAGAGTGCCCAAGCATGATCGGGTCACTAACTATACGCCAAATTAACTGTCAGGGAGGGCAAATGGAACGCCATGTGAAAAAGTGAAAGAGTAGAGTATTCTGCTTCGGTAAAATGTAAAACTGACAAGCGAAATGCATGCATGGTTTTCAGACAAGTCAAAAGAACGGTCCAATACACGAAACAAAGAATCTTCAAAGGCGGAAATTCTAAGAAATGTGTAAATAGGGCTATCAGAGTCAATATAGCATAGTTCTCTCGCCTTATCAAAAAAAGAATCAGTCATAAATCTTTGCTAGTCATTAATTAGTGTGTGGATGTGGCCTACCCCTCAAGTCGGGTAGTACGGTACTACGTCACTATTTAACCTCTCAATGCATTTTACCATGGAATAATGGATTTGGAAATGGTTGTCCGTCATACACGACTGTTTTATCTAAAAATGAACTCATGTCTTTAGAATAACATGCAATGCATCCGTTTGTCCGAAGACTGCTTAAAAACTTTTACTTGAGTATATAATCTGTTACACGCTGATTAGAAGCTCAGTGTTTTTTAATATTTTACTCAAGCGAAGTTTTAGGTTTTAGGTACAACTCGTACTGGGAATTGATTTAAGTGTAACATATTTAATTTCACGATGATGTTCTTTCTAAGTCGTGAACCTCAATCCATTTTCATAGAGTGCAAACCGCAGTCGGTCTTTTTCTCAAAATCGGTTTAGCGTAGCCTCGGCTCCTTCGCATGCAATGATTACCGCTGACCGTAAGACCCCGTCCTCTCTCCATTCTCCCACTCGTTCTCCAATGAAAGGTGAGAAGTGTATTGTTCGGTGGTTCTACGGATCCGCCCAACCATCCGGGTGGTGTTGCCAAGAACAATGGAAAAGGTGTCAGCCAATGAGAAAAGGCATGACAACATCGCTAAAATAGTGAGGCGAAGAGTAGCGTAATAGTCTCACGCGCGCGCCTCACAGGCCCGTATTTTTAGCGTCGGGCTCCCCAGTCTCGCTCTCCGTTTTCAGCCTCCCTTGGCTGTTGACGCGTACTTGAATACGCAAAAATACGGACTGTTTTGCAATCTAGCATTTTAATTGCTTTCGTACAATTCATTTTTGTCGATTTCTGGCAAAGAAAAAGTTATTTTTAGGACAGCTTCGTGAGCACGTTAAAACGAAAAGAAGTTCTTTAATTCATTTATATCGGTCATATGAACATGATAACTTAAAAAAGGGTCAAGTTGACGCCTTTTGCAAGTTCACCCAAGGGCAATCCGCGTCTCACAAATCTTGTCCAATTTTGATTTATTTTGCCTATACACCGATTATTTGGCGGTTCCGTTTTGTGTTCTTTCGCAACTTAAGCGATTATTTGGATGTTTACTGACTGGCATGAGAACATGAAATAACTTCACTCCACTGCACAGTTTTGTGTGGTTCCATTTCCTGTTGTTTAAAATGAATGTGAGGTGGCTTGTCTTTGGCAGTATCTCCAATTAACTCTAAAGCATTTTAAGAATTATTTTTCATTCAGCCAGTGTTTTCTGATAGGCGAAGACTCCCTTGCACTTGGAAACAGTTTTGAAGCCTGTCATCATGTAGATAGAAACCATTCTTTACATCGCCTGATCACAATTTGCTCGCTCTAAACTGTGCTCCGTTTCTGTATCTGGCCCTAAGGACAACCAGCTGAAAACTTTTTTAAGGACCAGTAGTTCCACTGTCATTACCACGAGTAGGGCGCAATGTGTTTAAATCCTCTGTCATCTCGATCACCTTTCAGGTTAAATCTTTCCTGAAGTACACAAGAAACTTTGATATTCTGTTACCGGCCCCTTCCATGGATAAACCAGAAATCGTGTCAGCACTGTCATGAAAGGCTGCATTTTGTCGGCTACATACTTACATGAACCCATGAAGATCTCATAATCATCATTTTTCCGAGCGAAGCGAGGCGCCAAGTGCCTCGCGCGAGTGGAGTGGAACGCGCGAGGATCGCAAGCAGAGTGCGATTTGGCTTTAGTCATAAATCTTTCTATCGGTTGGGTGTCCACAGTTGCCTAGCAACAAAGTCGCAACGGCGTCCCAATTGACCTCAGCAGCGTGAAGACATCGTCAGCAGAGTGTGATTTAGCCTGCGAAGCGCAGACGTATTTCCGGTCGTCGCTTCTCTCCCTCCGAAAAATTACTTTTCGGAGGGAGAGAAGCGACGACCGGAAATACGTCTGTGCTTTGCAGGCTAAGTGTGATTTGGCTTTACTATCGGTTTGGTATCCGCAGTTGCCTAGCAACAAAGTCGCGACGCGTCCCAATTGACGTCCCCAGTGTGACGGCAAGGAACATTTTAGGGACCAGGCAACAGTTCCACAGGTTCGAACCGGTTTGCTATAGATGACAAACACCTTGAATATTGTCCGTGAAAAAATGCTTACAATCGTTGTATCACGACCACCCAAACCATAAACAAAAGAGAAGAACAGACCCAATAATGGTGAAACATTGAGGCAATTTGGGCCAGTATTTTCAAAAAATAGCGAAAATCAAGATACACTGAGCAATTTTTAGTGCGTCTCACTTCGCAGACAAGTTTGCTTTTGAATGTGTCGCGCGATGTTTCCCTAAAGTGCGTTTCAGTTTGGCTTTTTAATTACCGTCGAAACCTTGTCTTTTTCCCCTGAAATCTCCACTGGAATTCGTTTTACAGTGTGGAAAACCCAAATTTATTAGTTTGCTGGCTTCCCCGCCGATATATAGATCAAAGTGTGCAAAGTTTCAGCTTTGTACTACGGACCGAAGTATAATAAAATCATGAAGCGACGCACTGACATATTTGTGCTTTAAATTTTTTTTCTAAATCCGGAGCCCGAAATAATGCTTTTCAATACACTTTTAAAGATAACACCATATGATTCGCATAAAAGAAGAAGAAGAACAGAAAGAACAACGTATGGACCTCCACGACGATATTCGCTCAGGTCAGCCATCCAGTTCTTAACCCCGACCGACAGGGCTTAACCTGAGTGCCGCTACCAAACCGAGTTTCGCGAGGGTTATTGCTAGCATTTCTAGTATAAGCGATAATTATGAGCGAAAAGGCCCATAAATTATTAACTTGTCTGAGTAATTGGTTCTCTCGGTTTTGAAGTTTTTAACAAATCGATAGTAGTCGAGGCGAGCCCTAACTCCACCTCCCTGCAATAGTGTGCCATATTCATGACATTAAGTCGTGAAGACGCTCCTATTCTTTGCTTGACGTTTTGAACCTGAAACTATCCGAGTTTCAAGGGCCTTAAGCATTGAGAGAAATAGGTGACGATCTGAAGATGCGACTCGTATATTCCCTGAGGTTTGACAGGAGCCGATTCCTGCGACATGACGAGCTTTGAAGCGCGAAAAAATTTTATGCAAATTAGCTGGCTGCACATTCAATGTGCAGCCAGCTAATTTGCATAAGTAATTCAAAACCAATGTCCGACAGCTCTAGGCTCTTGAGGTGTCGGCTGAATACCCTAGGACTTCCGTAAATTGCCCAAAAAAGAGTAACTCAAGCTACCATAAACTGAAATGAAAGTAACCGCAATATCCGATTAAAGCAAGGTTTAAATCTTTTTCTGCTCGGCTAACCCTCTTCCGAGGCACTTACTATTTTGGTAATAATGTAACGTCATAAACATTTTACATAGCGCCTTTTTCAGTCTCGGGCAGTAAATTATAGT